CCACTTTGACCTTTATAAAAACCATTATTTGTATAGTAGCCTCTTCTACTTTCTCCAATAAGTTTTCTGTTTTTGTTAGTGTGAAATTCGGTACAAGTGATCATTGGAGAGAGTTTCCTGTTAACTCTTCAAATAGTAAGTTGAATATTCAAATTTTATCAATAGTAAAAATTTAGATAATCATTTATATAATATTCATATTATAGTAATTGTTTCTGATGATTAGGTTAAGATATCTGTAATGGCAATTACACTAATATAACTGGCAGATTATGAAGTATCTATGTAAATATAGCATTATATAAAAAAATACAAATTGATTTTAGAAAATGCAAACTCTAGATAAGTTCTTGTGACTATATAAATTTATTAAAATTAGAAAACAAGAAGTTTATTTAAAAAAATCTAAATAAAGAAGCAACATAAATCTTTAATAATACTACTGTAAAGGCTTAATATCTGTACAAGCAAAAACTTCTGAGTTAGAAGTTTCAGAGATACTAGCAACCAGGCCATCAAAACAAATCAAAGAAAAAGAATATTGAACTAATCTAATATACTAATAAACTGATTATAGTCTTACACAGATTATCTAAATTGGAAATCTGATAAAAAACAAGAATATACTAAAGTATCAAAGATATGCTGTAAAGTAAATGCTAGAATTTAAGTAAACTTTACAAGAGCATAGTAGTTAAATAATATAACTCTGATTGCAAATATTGGTTCTGTTATAATAATATCAAGTTAATTGTAAAAAAGATGCAAAAGGCTTCAAAAGGTTTATCTCAAGAATAAAATAGTTTTAAGATTAAGACAATAATCTAGGCATAACTTAGTAATATTAATACAAATGCAAGATTAGAAAGTTTAAAATAGAACATCTAAGCAAAGATGTTAGATACAACAATTAGTAAAAAATCTTTAGCCAAACTTCTTAAATAGGTAATATAAAAAAGAATTATATATTATTTCATTAATAATCAATTTACTGGCATTCTATTTTATCAACAATCAATTTACTAACAAGTTTATTTCATTAACAACTATTTTACTGACTAGGTTTTTTTTAAAGTTGCATTCTAATTCTAACTGATTCTAACAAAAATAATCAAAATTACTTTGTTAATAAGATAACTATCAGTAAAATAACTGTTGGTAAAATAAACTTGTTGATAAATTAACTGTTAGTAAAATAGACTATTATTGAAATAATTGTTGCCAAAATGAGCACTACTCATAGAAAAGTTATATATAAAGTTAATTGTATACTTTTTCTGTAATAGTTTATAAAATCATATTATCAAAAAAGTTATTAATAAAAGTTAAAAAACCAAAGAAATCATCTTAATATTAAAAAAAAATACTTTTTAGTTTTATTACTATATATTATTTAGTAAGACAATATAGCAATACAATATTAAACAACTTGTTCTATTATTAGAAAATTAAGTCTAAACTATTTATATATTTTAAATTAACCTATATATAAGTTTATATATTTTATAAAAAAACAATTATTAATTCAAATTACTGTAATAATTATTTAATTATTAAATTAACACAATTGTTTAATATATATTATTGTTTAAAAATATTAATAAATTTATTAATACTTATTATTTATTTAATTTGTAATATTTATAAAATGAAATAAGTATAAAAAAATTTAACTTCTATCTTTATTTAGTGGAAAAAAAATTTTTATTTACTTATAAACTAATAAAAAAATTTAAAATATTATTATATACATTATATTACTAGCTTAAACAAAAAAAAATTAAATTCAAAACATCAATTTAAAAACAAGTTATACAATATATCAAAATTGTTTTTAATAATTTTATTAGTATTATCATTATTTTTAAAAAAATTATCTGTATATACAAGTATATAGTTAAAAACAAAAACAATTTTAAATAATAAAAGAAAACCTTATTTAAAAAAATTTCAATTTACAAACTTATCAATGACATTGGATCTAAAATCAACTTCAAATACAAATATTTATAAATCTTATTAAAATAATTAAACAAAGATCTTAACAAATAAATTGTGCTTAACTACTAAGATCAATTATATAGATTCATATACAACTTTTTAAATATATTTTTAATTTACAAACTTATTAATAACATTATATCTAAAATTAACTTTAAATACAAAGATTTATAAATTTTATTAAAACAATTATATAGAGATTTTGTTAAATAAATTGTAATTATCTATTAAAATCAATTATATAGATTTGCATATAACCTTTTAAACTTGTTTTTATTTTTTATTTTGCAAAATATATGATTTTTTTTGATAATTCAATAACTAATAAACATGAGTTATCTAAAAATATTCTTATCATTAATACTATTTTTATATATAAAATACAAAGAAAAAGAACATCTAAATATAGAAGAAGAAAAAAGATTATGATAATAAGAAAATTAAACAAAAATATAAATTAAATATTAAAAATAAAATTGTATTTAAATTATATATAAAAATAATTGCTAAAATAATAAATAATATTAATAAAATTAATTTTAATATAATTAAGTATTTTTAAAAAAATAACATTATTATTTATATTAATTGAAAATCTGTTTCCAAATAAGAATCAATTTATTAATAAATGATGATGCAAATCATTACTAATTAATATTGAATAATCTTTTTTTAGTTCAAAGCTAATATGATTTTCAACTACTAATATAAAAATAATTCCATCATATTCTAATGCACTAGATTATGAGTAATAATGTGAACAAGTTTTAAAGTGCAATGTTCAATTACTAAAAAGTTTACTTTGATGTAAAGTGGCATTTCTGGTCTAAAAATAGATATTGATTTGCATAGATCACAATTTTAAATAGGAAAATTCACAAAGTACTTATCTTTTTAAGTTCTATAAAAACATTCAATAAAACTTATATACTTTTTGTTTCATTTTTATGGCTCCAAAAAGCTAAAAAAAAGTAGATAGTTATGAATGAATCAGCTTGAAACAAAAGAAAAAAAAAAAGATCTAAAAAAAAACCAAGTAAGTAAATATAAATAAATTAGATTAAAGCCAAAAAACAAAAATGAATCTTTATTTGATCTAATTCGATACTACATGTCTTTGCAATTATGTACTATCTGTTAAAAGACTATTATCCAAATTAGAGTCTAATGCAGTTCTTGTAGCCTGCTCCAAAAACATTTTATGGTATTGTGATATCCATCTTTGGATTGTTAAGACTTTTGGCATTTTATCTTGCTCTAACTCACTATTATTTGCAAATTCTTTCAATTTATTATATATATCAGTAGCTGTCATCTGGTTCTTAGCATAAATATTTTCTTGCAAGAACATTTGTTCAAGCATTTTTTTAACTGCATCTGACATTTGCTTACTCCTATCTTGTTTATCATATGCAAAATTTTCATGCAATGTCCATCCTTTATTTCAAGAAAAAGCAATAGTGGATGTGTCTTTTATGATTATACAAGTACTTTCTTCTATATTTTCGATGCTTGTTGTTTAATAAGAAAATGATAAATTTATTAGCTATAATACTTACACTCCAGATCATTATCTATAGAATTGTTTTTATATCTTAGATTTATTTATATAATTAAAATTATTTTATAATAAAGATGTTTTTATTACCTATCATCACAGTATCATCTAATTCAATTATAGTTTGGCCTTCTGTATACAAAATTTGCATGAATATTGATATAAGTTATATATTTTATATTTTCCTTATCTTGAGGTTTTGGTAAAGCCATTGTCCAATTTAATTGTGATTCAGTATATGTTGAGACTTTTGGTTCTGAATAATGAAGTTTTTCATTGCACAAGCTAGTAATTGCAGCAGAAGAAAAATGAGCTAGAGTTCTGAAATGAGACAAGAGATGTGCCACAATATAACCTGCCAATGAACCTGCAATTAGCCATTGCCAGTAATTATGTTTAGAAATTTCAGTAATAGTTTCTATATATGGTTTTGTTTTTACATTACTTTCAACAACTAAATTTTTATTTTTTCCTTGATTTCGATTAGGTTCAATGTTTGCCAAATATGTGCCTGCTAAATTATATGTAGCAGTTACAATATTGGATCCTTCTATTACTTCATATCTAACATGAATATATCATTTAATAGCATGAGATATCTTGAAAATGAGAGTAAAAATATATATTATTATTTATTATAAAATTATACTTATTTTTGTAAATAAATAAAAACTTCTGCAGTGTGATATAAGTTAATAGTAGTTTTTGCTTTATCAGGCTCCAAAAATAACTATTTACAGACTTTAACATTGTACCAATTCAATTAATAGCACATGATTACCATTAACTCGCTATGATAGTAATGTAGTCCATTGTCTGAAATTATCTTTACCTATTTCAGTTTCTTTTCAATATTGTTAAACACAGCTTCGAAACAAAATGCTGTGAACTAAGCATCTTGTTTCGTATCTGTAGACTAGTAGTTATAAGCACTAATATTTAAATCTACAATATTATCCTCTATATTATTATCATTTACATTGTTATTCTCTGCATTATCATCTTCTACACTATCATTATTTTTTTTAGTTATTACCAAAATCATATGTAGCATTCAACCTCTTTTACCAAAAAACTTTTGTTTAGTTTTTCATGCATTTTTTAGAAGAATTCATATTTTATAATCTGTGATCATAATAGCATCATCTGAATCGAGGCTTGCCAATGATAATTTGTATTGTGCATTCAAATAATGTTTTTAGGCATAGTGTGCAAGAAAGTATTTTAGTTTTTCTTGCATTTCTAATAATTGGAAATGATATATATCACTAACATGATTTTTTATAAAATAAAAAAAAATTAAAAAATTCTAAACAATCTTGATAGTACAAATCATGTGTATTTGAACATTTTCTAAAAGCAAACAGCAAATAGTGATCGATGCAGTTATTATATAATGTTTTTCCATCTAACTCAACTTTCAAATGGCACTCAAAGTTTCTTTTTAAGTAATGGCATAAGTTCTTAATTCATGATATAATAGGATCCTTTTATATGTCAATAATTTATTTTATTTAGATAAGTTGATACAACTAAAAACTTTTTTATATTTTTTTTTTATGTTTTTTTTATTTTTTTTTATTTTTTATTTATTTATTTATTTATTTTTTTATTATTATTTATCCTTTATTTAGGAAACAGATATTTTTACATCTGATTTTAGTATTTTCACACCCCTTGATTATATGTATATTAAATAAAGTATATTATAGTTATAGCAAAACAAAATGTTAAGAAAATAAAATAAAATCAACTCTTTCTGATGATCATTTAAACCAAACTTTCCAAAAAGCCAAACTACAGAAAATAATATAGTTAATATATTAAACTTTATGAAAACCTTTTTGGAGTACTGTACATGCATTGTTGGA